ATCTAGCATTATTTTGGCAAAACAAATTGAACCAACTGCCGTTGATAATCGTGTAAATATTGAACCAACAGCTGCAAATGGTGAGGTTGTAACTCCATCCACAAATGAAATTAATCCAACACCAGCTGTTCTCGAAGGTTCAATTAGTGAAACAGCCGCAAAAGATGATGAAAAGGATGCTGAAGACGAAAAATCAGTTACTAGACCATTATTCCCAGGAAAGCGACCCTCATTGATCAATCGTCCTTTTGGACCTTCATCTCGCACACGTTCCACATTCAATCCAACATTCAAACGAAAGAATACTGCAAATACACCAGCAATTATTACACCAACAGAAGTTACACCAACAATCAAAGCCACAGCAGTAAAATCACTAGGAAATCGTTTCGCTGCTCCAAGACGTTCGAGTGCTTTAACATCTGCATTCTCTCCATCAAGTGCAGTGCCTAATATAGCTGGTCCATCAAGCTCACGAAGACCATCATTTACACGTCCATCATCAGTTAGAGCTTCATTCCAGCCCAATGCACCAAGCATTCGTGCCTCAAAATCGTCAAGTAGCTCAAGAATACAGCCAACTTCCGTACTTAATAGCAGCATTAGACGTCCACTTTTGAGAAGCTCATTACCAGTAGCACCTCGTGCTTCAAGCTCAATTTCACCTTCTTTACCAGTAATTGGACGTAATAGAGTCATTCGTCCATCATCGTCAATCGCTAAAGAAGTTGTTCAGGCTTCAATAACCACACCTGAACCAGATGAATTTGAAACGACACTGGTTACGGATGAACCATCAAGTGCCGATGATTTTGAAAGTGAAAGTCAAGAGCCAGTTACAACCACAACAGAAAATTCAAGACGTAATAATAATCCACTATTGAGAGTACGAAGACCTCCACTTACAAGTGGTGCAAGACCAAATCCTCCAGCAGCGACTCAAAGATCTGTCACAATTACGACAAGACGAAATCCATTAGCTAGAACTTCACGTGCCACAACTCAAGCTACCACTAGCACCACTACTGAACGTACGACTAGAAATAGACCATTATTCAGACCCACATTTGCACCAGTTTCAATTGGTGGCTCACGTTCTCGACCAAGCAATCTTTTCCCTAATCGAAGAACCACCACAGAACCTCCTCAAGCTTTAGATGATGAAGAAATTAACAATTCTGAAGAAGATTATGATACCGAAGAAACAAAAATTCAAGAAGTAAAGACACCAGCACGTTTACGAGGTAGTCGTTCAAAGCGTCAAGCAATTGATTATGGTACGAGACCTCCAAACTACAACCCACGATTATTCAAAAAGCCAACAACAAGTCGTAATAGTAGAGCTGATTATTACACATATGATTCTGAAGAATTGATTGTCACTGAGCCACCAAAAACCCGTGCAGCAACAAGCCGTTATAATGCACAACGATCACGTGGAAGCTCAAATTTTGAGACTGAAACGGCAAAGACAAGAATAAAGCCTACAACAAGCTCATCTCAAAGTAATCGTTTACTTTTTACACTAAGAAAGGAAGACACAAGTCCGGCAGTGACAGTGAGATCTTCAAATTTTAGAAGACCTCAACCAGCTTCAAGCTTCAATACAAATACAAATAATCGAAGAACTACGACAACAACTCGTGCCTCTAAATTTAGATATAATCAGCAAGAAGCACGTGGAAATAATGCAAACAGTCGCGGCAGAAATACAAATACTCGCGGAAGAGGAACAACATCTAGATCAAGAACACGTGACGATACATTCAACTATGTTGCACCAAAATTTGATGGAACCATCACAATCACACATCACATTCCAACTGAAGTAACAATTCCAATTGTCGTGGGAAAAAATACAGAATATAAATCAATCATTACCGCAAAGCCAAGTTTGGAAATTCTCGGACCAAATCAATATTCAACAAGTAGTGGTAAGAATGGACAAACTACATTGGTAGTACTCGAAGAAAGAACTGCAATTAATCAGAATGGAGCAACTGAAATTACACAATATTTACTCAGTGAAACTCCAACGACAAGCATAACATTCACACCGACAACAATTCGTGGCCGAAAAACATCATTCTCACATGTCATTCCAAGTACAGTTTATGATGCACATCCAGTTATATCGACAATTCAGCCACAAATATTACCTGGTAGTGGATCATTAGCAAATATCCTCTTATCACAATTATTATTGAGTCCTCAAAATCAACAATTGGGTGCTTTAGGCTTAGGAAACCCACTCCTTGGACTTAATCAACAAATTCAACAAGTTATTCCACAAATGCCTGCTACACCAGTCACTGAATTCAAGACAAGAACGACCACATATGTGACAACAATTCATGAAGGAAAGTCAACAGTTCTTCCGATCACGTTCCGTGGACAGAAAATTTACACGACCGTTTTTGATGATGTTTCACAAGTCATTACAGCAACTGAATTTATTACTGACACAATTGTCATAACACCCACGCAAGCTTTATTGCCTCAAGTGCAACAAACAGCTAATTTAAATAGCTTACTTCTTCCTCTTTTACTTCAACAACAACAACAACAGCAACAACAACAGCAGCAATTTAATCTTCAAAATATCAACACACAGCCTGCAGCATTTGATATACTTAAGCCACATCTTGAAAACATTGCTGACGATAAAACAATTCAAAGCATAACAGCAGATGAGACACAAAATAACTCGAAAGAAGAAGATTATGAAGAGGTGGAAGAGAAACCGAAGAAATATTTTAAGGCACAAAAACCAGCTGAAAAGAAATATGAGACGAGTGTTGTGACAATTTACGTCTCTGGACGTGTACCTGGCGATTTCAGTACCGTCTTGTCTACAATCATAACTGAAAATCCTGTATATAAAAGATCTGCTGCATATGTAGATGTTAAAGCATCAGCCTTGCCAAATTTAGATGTACTTGAAGCAGAAGCTAGCGATAATTATTACGAATATGTCCTATCCGGATCAAGTAATGACATTGAACCGGAACCGAGAGATAATACAAATAAAGAAACTGAAAGTTTAGATGTCGTTTTTGGCGATTACAATAAATACACATCGTCAGTATTGATGTAAAGAAATCTTAGTGAAACTTAACAATTTTTGTATAAAACATGTCGGAATTGATTTCGATTCCAATAATTTAAAAAATATATGAAAGCCAAAAATGCCAAAGTCAAAAATGATAATTCTTATAACTTTTCAATACACACAAAAAACAAAACAAATTGTAATATGTAATATGTAAATGTTGAGCAGCAAGGGATGAAATGTAGATATGATAAAATTTTCAAAATTTTAACGGTCTTGTAAAATTTGAAAATATATCCATACTAATAGAAAATTTTATTTGTATCTGCAGAACATTTTAAAAATTGTGCCTTTCAGGTCTTGGGGTGTGTTTTTTGGGGAGCTTTGAAACTTTGACAATAACTGGTCAGGTTTCTACAAGTTAATTCCATTAGAGTTCCTCAAAAGTCCCTCAAGGTCATATCCCTTTCTAATATAATTAACATGTAAATTTATGCACTTGAAAAAGTTTTTGGCATTAAGCAAAGCTCTGAGATTTGCTTTCACCTTCACATTCTAATTATAAATTTATAATTTGCTTCTTCTTTCCCCAACATTAAATTTAATTTATTACCTTGTTAAGGATATTACTTGTTTGAATGATTAACTAGTTCTGTTTAATACTCAAAGCTCTGATTAGTGGATTTAAAAATTGTAAAAAAAAATTACGAAAAAACGAACAAAAAAATATTATAAAATTTTTAAATAAAATAAAAATCGAAAAATCGTTAATTATTAAGACTGAATTATTTCACTTAATTCCTCCTTGATCCAAAATTTCCCTTCCATACATCAATTGCCAAAAATTTGCGGAATTTCTTGACAAATTTGACTGCAACCATGGGATTTGTAAAAAAAAATTTCTTGTACAAAAAATAACAATTCAACTGTAAAGTGCCAGCCAACCAGCTTTCTCTCTCTCCTATACCTCGAAAAAAAAATATTAAATATAAAACTATAACCATGTACATAAATATTCATATTACATGAGATTATGATAAGGTGAGTTTCGAAATATAAATATATACATTGCTATAATATAATACATAAATGTGAATGATATTGAACTTTAAATACATTTTCACTGCTTGCCATATCTACCTATCTACCTACCTACCTTCTTTCTTTTTGTACATTCTGTCTTCTTTTATGTTGCCTTATTACAAAAACATTATGAACCTGACAAAAAAAAATCCGAGAGTAAACTTTCTATTTTAATATCCGTAACATCATCCATTTATACGACATCACCTTCAATATTTTTTTGTTGCTGTTTTGTGTACAAATTTGCTAGTGATTTTTCCTTTCTTCCATCTTTTGCCGCTAATAAAATATTGAAAGTTTACAAAAAGAGATGAATTAGACGCATTTTTTGTGATATAATTGTTTTGGAATTCCTTTGAATTTGATGTTGGCTTTTATTACACTTTAATTGACTTTTTAATCGGCTCAGTTTAATCAAGGATGTGAGAATTGGGATATACATAGCCTAATCTAAGCACTTAGAGACTCTGAGCCTCAAAATGCCATGTTACTCATGGATTTGGCTTCAAATTAATCGAATTTTAAATCAAACTTAAACAAAAATGCTTTGAGAATTTCATCCATCTTCTCCTAACACTTCTTGTATAGATAAAATGTATCCCCATAAAATTTAATAATGCCAACTACCATGTTGATATGTCCGGTACCCTTTTTAAGAAGAATTTCCTATTTATGTAAAAAAAGTTCCTTTTTAGCCATTAAATTCAATCATCCATTTCCTTTTCACACTTTTATATTCTATGTGAAAAAAAAAAATATCAAACCACATATGACAATCATTATGGTCAAAAAAAAAAAACTTTTCATTATCACAATGGATGTATATCCATACTAAATGTTATATTCTCTGAAATAATTTTTATAGTACCAAAAAATGTAACCACAAAGCCGGAGGAAGTTTTACACCAGAATGGCAGGAAGTTTACAAAATTTACTCAGCATCATGTCAATGAAGGAGGAGGAGGTGGTGAGAATGGAAGTGATGCAGATGAGGCGCGTTACAATCTCGCAACACGAGTCATGTCGAATGGAGTAGAGTTAATAGTCGCCGACGGGAAGAGTACATTTCCAGGTGAACCGAATTTTTTTCGGGTTCTTACAAACACCAAAAACTACAATCGTCCATTGACCTTGGCACCGAGTACACTAAATAATGTTATGATGCTGATGACATTGGGTGGAAAAAATCCGAAGGTAAAAGTCACAAAAATAACAAAATTTCTCCAAAAATCTCGTACGGTATTATGTCGTTGATGATCCATTAACATATTATGAATTACCGTCCATATTTATTATTCAAATGACTTAACAAAAGAGAAAAGATCCCCGAAAAAAATGGTAGCATATGTATATGACGACGTATATTCGTCTCCAATTTCACTTTCATTTGAAAATCTCACGAGCTTGTTTTCGATACAAACATGTGTTTCAGCTCATAAATTCATTGTGTATTGATTCATGTGGAAAAAATTTTCTATTTTCTCACGTAATAATTCAATTCTTCTCTTATACTATATAGATCGACAACATTCCTGAGAATGCAATACTCAATCGATTCGTTACAAAGACATGCCTCACAACTTATACATACCTCACAACATACGAAATGAATGGATCAACGATGATCGAGAGTCGCGAGAAGGTTATTTCGAATATTGCAACAGAAGAGCGGAACACCCACAATATGACACCGCTTATAGCATCCGATATGACTTTCTTTAAGGTATAAATTAATGAAGATTATTAGTTTTTGTAAAATATTCACATGTGATTACTGCTCGATGAAAACGATCATGATGTGAAATTAGAAATCTGTCAATATGATTTGCATAAAATTTCATCTTTTGTGATTTTTTTTTTCACTTTTTCGTGGTCATCGCCACAAGGATTTGAAAGCTTATATAACACCTCACATATTTGTTGAGATTCTTTTGGATGCGAGAAATTTTTTCGATGGTTCAACAACAGTTGACGATGTTTTGTTTTCTAATTCCAATTATAATCGAATTATCATATAAAATCTCTCTTTAGGCCCGGAAGAAAATGAGATTGTAGCTTTATGAATGGATTTTAAAATTTCCATTATGGAATTTAGCGATATTTTGCTACACGTGACGTACTTAAAATTCATATATTTGTTTTGTCACAGCTTTTTTATTGCCATTTTTTCTGGTTTATTTGATAATTTTTGACAGAAAATCGAAAGTAATTTGCAATTTTATCCGATATAGTATTGTGTAATTTATTAAGCTCGAAATATTTCATGCTTAAATTCAATTAATGTGATTTAATGGTCAATTTAATTTTTTAAGTGTCGGTGAATTTTTTGAAAGGCTTACATGCTGGGAAAATTTCACAATTTTCGGATTCAATTAAGTAAATAGTTTGATAAAAATTTGCGGTGGCTGTCAATCAAATTTCATGGGAGATTAATAGCTAATTTTTTTGATGCCGGTATCAATTTTTTTTCTTTTATGTTTTAAAATTCTTATTTGACATTTATTTCATAACTTACAATACCAAAGTTAAATCCTCATTAAATATGCATTTTAATCATTTCTCTTTTTTTTTAAAAAAAAAGACACCAAACCTTAGAGTAGGCGAATTTAGTACAACTTACACATATTATAATACAATAATGGATGAGGATGTTCCAATTGTTGCAACATCGAAACATGTTGTCGTTAATACGATTACAGCAGCTGATGATTATCTGAAAATGATTCAACCTTCACCATCGGCAATTCCGGTTTATGAAACAAATACATACTACAGTACAGTCGAGTTCTCGAAGACAATTAATGATGAAGAGATTACGAAAGTTATTAATACACGAGATGTCATTACACAAGTTATTGTTACTGAGTCACTTCCACATGGTCGAATGCCAATGAGTATGAGTCATGAACTCATAGATTCACAAGAGAGCGGAGAGCTTTCACCATCAGCAGATGATGAATATAATGACACTGAAGTTCATAATTATATTAAGAAAACAAATGTGATTGATGTCAACCCAACGAGAATTGTAGACAAACCTAATGTTGCTGGAAATACAATGCCGTTGCAACTTTATGCAACAAAAACATATTTGACAACTTTCACCTATTTTACAACACTATTGCAAAATGGAGTTGGCTCAGGCGGTGAAATTTCGTCAACTGTTGTAAATTCTCACACTCGTGTCATTGAAAATGTTGTCACTGAATCAATACCACCATCGTTAGTTCCAAATGAAATTCTTGATAGAATCAGTAAGACAATCATTGACGATGCAAAAAGTGACTTGAAAACACGTATTACATTGAAAAATGGTCATAAAATTGAAATTACAGCTGCTAATATTCTCAAACCGGTTGATTATGCAACGGCACAAACAGAAATTTCTTCAATCGAAACGAATGACTTGGATGTGGCTGCGAACGACTTATCGCCATCGCTTGCACTTTTACAAGCTGATGAAAGTGAAAATGCATATATTGACATTGATTCTAGTGAAGAAAATGTTGTAATACCACAGCAGCAGCAGCATGAACATTATCAAGAGCCCATTCGAATTCCAACATTAAGTCCAAAACCAAAACCAGCTTCCGGCTCGTTAAAAATTCCATCGTTATTGAATAGCATTAATATACCAAGCTTTTCAGCACTCGGACCGGTTATTAATGCAATGGCTGGAATTTTAACGAGCAACTTTGGAGCGCAAGCCATTCAGAAAAATCAACATGCTGTTCCACAAGCACAGCCGTTAAAATCCAGACCTGAATATGAGGCACTTCCTCAACCATTACCGTTATTAAGTCCTGAAAGTCAAGATGTAATTTTAAGTCAATCTGAGTCAAAGAATAAAATTCCATTGTACATTCCAATTCGTGAACCAAATAATCTAAGTCATCATGCATCCATGATGGGCTCTGGAATTCCGATTTCCCCAGGTGAAGTTATTACTGCTAATTCTGATGTGATTGTTGGTAGACCAGCAGTTATTGGACCTAAACTGCCATCACAAATTAATGCACCAGAAGAAATTTCAGGAATGGAAGCACCACCACCATTTTTGCCACTTAAAACTCCACAAAGACCAAATTCATTTGTAAAAGACATTAAAACCAATGGAAATATTAATCACGTGTTAGTGAAAAAAGGAGATGATTACATTGGACCACCACCACCAAAAGAGATTCATTCGCCTCTCCAAAATAAACCAATTCCATTAAATAACTACCCAAGACAACCAATGCCACAGAATTTACAAAAAATTCAACCAATTATTCCACCAATGATGCGACCACACTCGAGTCATTCGAGTAGTGAGGAAATGCAACATCATCAAAGACCGGGAAATATTCTCATTCCAAAGCCAACTCCGACACAGGAGACGCAAATTAATAATCACTATATAAAAATTAATCATCAGCAACAGCCACAACCGCATAAACCTCAAATTTTACCAATTCGTAATCAAGAGCAGCATATAAAAGTTCCACAGAATCAGCCAATCAGACAGAATCATCAACAACATCATTTTAATCATCATAAGTCCCATCCCAGACCGATTCCGGTAATTGAGCCTGCTCATAATGTTATGCCACAGAATGTTATTGAAATTCAGAAAATTCCGGAAGTTTATAGTACAGACTTGCCAATAATTACACTTAACAATCATCACCGTCATCATTTCCCGTCTAGTTCACATGATTTTATTGCACATGAACTTCCGGAAATTCTTGATAGACCAACAAATGGTCAACCTTTATTAGTAAATATTCAACCATCGCAAGTCGCTAATGTGGTAATTCCTCATGATAGCAGTTCAGTACTTGTTTATGGTGGTGTCCATGAGGCTCATAAAGCTGGCCAGTACTTTAATGATCCACCACCACATGCAAATGCTGAAGTTGGAATTAAGAGTGTTAATTTATATGCTGATGTTGCCAGTATTAATGGAAATAATAGGAATCAACAACAACAAGCTTCACATATGCATTATGATGTTAAGGACAATATTATTGTGGCATCAGATAACATTGTAGCATCGCCGTCAAATGTCAATCTTCTAGTCAGTCCATTAATATCTCAAACTGCTTCATACAATAGACCAAATGAGTACAATCAAAATTCAGTTCATTTCTCACCAAGTAATGTCATTAACTTCCACCCAGGCTCAAGTATAGCTGTTGGTCCAAATAATCCATCAAAACAGCAAATTTTACTTCAACAAATTGAGCAGCAAAATGCTATCGACCAGCAGTTGAAACAGAAATATATTGAAAATCAAAAAAGAATTGAGGAACAGAGACGACAGGAATTGATTCGAAGACAAAAAATTGAGGAACAGAAACGAAGAGAATTTGAGGAACAGAAGAGAAGAGAGTATGAGGAGCAAAGGAGAAGGGAATATGAAGATCAACAGAGACAGAAACAACACGAAATGATTAAGAAGCAAGAAGCTGAAAGGCAAAAAATTGAGCAGCAGCAACGGCAGCAAGAAGTTGAGAATCAAAAAAGGCTGCAATATGAACATGAAATGAAATTAAGGCAAGAGTATGATCAGCATAAGAAGCAACAAGAAATTAGGAATAAAAATAAAAATCAAATAGTTTTACCTCATCGATCACCAATTCGTCCACAAAATCCTGTCGCACAAAATAATGGGCATCCAGATAGCTCAGGATTTATTGTCCTCAGCAGTAACTACAACTCAAATCCTCAAAGTAATCAAAATTCATTCATTCCAATGCCTCCAAGTTATAAACCGCAAGGAACTGTTGAAGCTGTTCCAATCTCAGGTGAATCTGAAGCACAAGACAGTGAAGGGCCTGAAGGACAAGAATCAATCAAACATCCAAAACTTCCAAGTGGTGAAAATATCAATGAGTTTGATGATGAAATGATTAAACCTATTGATGAGTATGATAAATTTGTATATCACAAAATCACAGCAGCAAGTACCACTACTTCTGAGCCAATTACTACAACAACACGAAGAACGACTCAAACATCACCTATTACAACAAGGAGAAGTTCTACAGTTCCAATATCTACAGAACGAATTAACATTCCAACAACAAATAGAAATGGACCAATCTATATACCCAAACCATATCCAAATCATCAATTTGAGAATCTACCAATTCTAGTCAATGACTTGCAGCATCGACCACCACCGACTGCTCGTCCTACAACAATCAAAACATTCCAACGAATTCCAACGATTGGACCACAATATAAGCCAAATATTCAAGGCGGAAATACAATTTCACAGTCAATGAAACCCCCGGCACCACCAAAAATATCACGACGTCCAACACATCCATTCAATATTCATAGAACAACATTTAAAATATCAATGCCAATTGATCCAAAGCCTGATGATGTTAGCGTTGTAAATAATTTACAAACGGAAGTTCCATTTAATCCAATTTACACGCAAAATGCAGTGACTGAAAGTTCAATGTTAACGGAACGACAAACATCAAGTACATTTAGACCGAGAACGACAGAATTTAGCACTGCTGCGACAGCTGTTAAATTTTCTAGAATTCCCAATACGACAAGTACTAATGAAGGAAAGAAAGTGGAAACGACAACGTCCGAAAGTGACTTGAATATTGGAGAAGTTGAGCCGGTAAAAGTGTTTAACTTTACAGAGGAAAATGCGGAAGTATTTGACAGTAAAGAGACAATAAATCCTCATAATCATGGATTTATAAATCCACAACAGATTTTAGACGATAAAAACAAACATGAAAAAGATGATATTGACTTGATGCCACCATCGAATAAGAATGATAAGCCATATCACACGATTGTAAGAAATCCAAACCTTACAACTTACAAAACATCAAATGTCAAGCTTGAAGTAACATCATCAGAATTAGAAACAATGAAACCTCCAGCACCTCCTATAAATCCCACGACAAAGGCACCGACATTTGTAGAAATTGCAAATATGAAGCCACCACAAGATGAAAACCCGAGATTTAAGCCACAATATGTGAATATCCAAAGACCAACGATAAGTTTAAATAGATTCACTCCATCTAGTCCTGATCCATTAACCACAACAATAAAAACAAAGCCTACAATATCAACTTATAAACCTCCATTAAGGAACAGATTCCCAACGTTGAGGCCATTAAAAATTGAAGTAACAAATGAGAAGGTTGAAGAAGACAAGAAAGTCGAAGTAACGTCAAAATACACCGAATCAGTAATTAAAGCAACACCGACACTTTCAGCATCACAAACAGAGAAAATTCAGATCAACACAACTCCATTATTGACGAAAGTGACAAAAGTAAGCTCATCAGTACGAAAAGAAATCCACATTCCAAAGAGCACAGAAATCAAAGCGGATGAAAGACGAAAAATAGTTCATAACACAACAATTTTGACAGAGCAAATCATCACATCGACAAAATGGATTCAATTCACGAATACAAAGACGATAACACTTTCAAAGACTAAAACGGAAACGATTCATCATAGCCATGGAATTCCTGTGGTGTCGACCAGCGTTCAAACTGTGTATGAGACAATTACTGAGACAGAAACACTGCTGAAGCCAACAGTTATCACTTCAATACATCCCACAATGACTATAATTCGGGAAACAATCATTCCGACATATCCATCAACGACTGAAGAAATAATTGAAGGTTTCGTGAGCAATGAAGATTTGGATGAATTTATAATCAACGATTATGACACAAAGAATGGATCAATTGTTCATGTCAGCTCAAATGAGGTTCATTCGAATAATAAGAAACATCCAATTGAAAATGAAAGTATCTTCGTTGTCGTTAATGATAAAAAGAATCATCAGCAGAAAATCAACATCGATCCATCGATTATTAAGCACACGACACTCTATAATCATTCCACATTCACAAATGAAATTGAAGATGTGAGTAGAGACGAAGAAGATAATAATGATGGTGCTGGTCACATATTGCTAGGCGGAATTTTGATCGCATCGCCACCTCAGCTGAACAAGAGTCAACAAGGCGCTGCTATAAGTGGAAAATGCTATCCGGAATGTAATAAAGTCAATAATGAATATTGTCATAGAGTTGATGGGATAATGAGATGCACGTGTCGACCAGGTTTTGCTCGCATGTTCCCAGATCGTCCATGTAAACGTAAGTAAATTATCGATTGTGATTATAATAAAACGGAATTGGAATTTTTATTGCTGATAAGAAACTGAAAGTGTCTTTATTTCTTCTTAAGGTACTTGATAAGGGTTCGTTCACTTATTACGTAACGCACTAGGGGGGGAGGGGGGGGTCTAAGATTTTGTTACGGTTTGTTACAGGGGGAGGGGGGGGTCTAAATTTTGTTACGTAACCTTTCAAAAATTATATTTTTTTATAATTTTTTCTATATTAATTTTAAATTTTTTTAACGTTAAATTTTAACTTAAGAACTTTTTAGTTATAATTGCTTTCCTTCTATTTACTTTTACATACTTAAAGGAAGTATAATAAACATTTGATAAACAATTTAAATGAAAAAAATTATTGTTACGTTATGGGGGGGAGGGGGGGGGGGGTCTAAGATTTTGTTACGCTTTGTTACAGGGGGGGAGGGGGGGTCTAAAAACTCGTTTTTTTGCGTTACGTAATAAGTGAACGAGCCCTAAGGTCTTTCATTAAAGTTTTAAATTTTTCAAGCACATCTGAATGAAGCTTTGCTATAAAATTTTAATAATGATTTCCTTCTATTTCCAGCAATCTACACATACATCATGAAAATAGGCCTCAATCGGATCGGACGAGACAAATTAGTCTTTGACTCATCATTACTGAACAGAACCACTTCCAATTACACAAAATTACAAGAAACAGCTTATAATGGAGTCGATAGAATGTTGATGCAATCAGATCTTCGTGACATTTATCACAGCATTGAAATTATTGGATTTAATAAGACAAAAGAGAATGGAATTACAGGAAAATTATTCATTCAACTGTCTGAAAATACGAATGAGAAGAAACTCAGGGAAACAGTTAAGAAATATTTGAGAATGTCAAACTATAATCTTGGTGGAACTGAATTATATGCAAATCCACTCGTTACTGATCTTGAGACATACGATTTCGATGAATGTGATGCCGAAGATAAAAGTCACGATTGTTCTGAATTCTCGCATTGTTTCAATTTGTTGGGTACATATACGTGTAGCTGCTTGGAAGGCTTTGCCGATGAGAGTGAGAATCCAATTTATCCAGGAAGAGTTTGTGTGAAAGAATTAGTTGGATGTGAGAAATGTCATTATCATGGAACATGCTTAACACAGGTCAACGATCAAATTATATGTGAATGCTTCCAATGGTACACGGGAGAACAATGCCAGTTTAATTTGAAATGTAAGTGACTTTGTTTTTTGCCACAATTATGAATTCACTTTACAAGCTTTTTACTTTCAGTGCTACTTTTTGGACTTGTAATAGCTGGAGTAACACTTTTCACGCTTCTGATGATTTGCATAATTATCACATGCGTTAAGAAGAAGCGAGTCAATCAAAACTCAATTGCTCCAGCAATGAATATTATTCAGAGACGAATAAGTGGATCTGCACATCATAGTGTTGGATCAAATGCTGACAGAAAGGCTATGATTCAGGACACGAGCAGTGAAGCAAGTGAAGATCATGAACCTGCACCATATTTCAGAAAGGTAAGTAGTGACTTTAAATGCAAGCATTCGAAAATTTCAAAATTTTTGTCTTTCAAGAAATCCAATGACGAAACACAAAGGAAAGTCTCAGTGGAAGCTGTTGCACCGAAGAAGAAGAAATCTGTGATTCACAATCCAATGGGTTCATTCAGTAAAGCAACGTCAGTCGATCAACGTGATCGATCATTAACTGTGATGATTCCTCGAGCGAAATATCATCCAGGAAGCAAGCCAGGAAATATTGCTGATGTTGAAGGTTATAAGTCTAAAAGCTCATCAAGTGCGAGCGTCAATCAAAATCAATCGAAATTATTAAATTATCTTGAGTCTAGTCCATCATCAGCGAAAGCTAAAACAGTAAGGCAATGAATTTTTTGTTCCTTGAATTTTAATAATTGAATTGTTTTAGAATGTGCCATGTGAAAAATCAAATTATCAGCCACAAAATCCAGGTGCACTGGTGTCAGCTGGCTTTAAGGTTTCTGCTGCTGGTGGAAGCAGTTCGCCAATAAATACGAGTACGAGCAGTACGAATCATAGTAAAAATAATCGTATAAGTAAAACAACGAGTCATCAGAATGTCAATGAAATCGGCAGTAAATATTATGCTGTACATAAAATAAGTACAGTGTCTGAACAGCCAATCATGTCATCGTCAAGAATCGAGGAAAAGTCACAGCTAAGTGTTGTGAGGAAGAGTTATAGGTAATGGCATTAAAATCTATGAAATTATGAGAATTTCGACTCACATTTTGCTGATTATTTTCAGTCATGGAAATTTAATGGAAAATATGGACGACTGGCTAGACAACGGAAACATTACAGAGTTGTAAACCTTAAATTACAACTTTGCATTTTTTTATAAAATCTATTATTTCTAATTTCAGAGCAATGTCTGAGGCTCGGTCATATGATGAGACGACTATTCAGGCACCAACCAAAGCAATTAGAAATCTTTACTACAAACAGTTGTCACATAATGATGGCAATAACACAGAAGTAAGAGATTTGATGTTATTTTATAGTCCTGCTGTGAATACTTCGTGGACTGGCTGAATTTTCAGACATGAATTTCGAATTAAAGATTTTAACTTAATTTTTTGATCATTCTAGGATATGAACACAATGGCAGAGCGAGACATGGCGTCGACAGTATTACTACCTCACACGCATCTCTATAAGCCAACAACAGATCGAGTAAGTTCCATCAAATACCTTAAAATTGTTATATTTTAACCAAGGTTTCCTTAATCTTCCAGGGAAGTGACATATCAGGATTTGATTCTCTTTAGGATGAATCAGAAGCCCAAAACTATACAAAATTCGAGTCATTTTTCACAGGACATACTAGAAAGTCAACTGAATTTGTCTAATTTTAATTAGTAATTCCTTTCTAACGCATTTTCAATGTAATTTTATTAACATAAAATGTTAAATTGTAAATATTTCGGTAAAATAAGCTTTTTCTAGTTGCTATAATCGACTTGAGTCATTATGGAAATTCCAGAATTTTCATCTGTGAACGAGATGACTCATGAGAATCTACTGACTTGTAAATAATATTTTATTTATTTCATTTAATTTTAACAAAAAAACGTATGGAAATTATTCCTTATTTTTATGAGAGTTAAATCAATTTTAGTAAAATTGTAGAGAAAATTTTGAAAAAGGTTTTGTGAAAATATTAAATTCATGAATTTTTTAAAAATCAGAAAATTTTCGAGAAATTCAAAATTTTATTTTAAAAAGTTGAAAATTTCAAAAAAGCAAATAATTAAAATTAAAATCATACTTTTTTGAAAAGAATAAATATTTACCGAAATAAAATCATCAAAATTTTCTCTGCGATCAGATCTGGCTCTTATTAAACTACTCTGCATATGCCTTTAAAAATTTATAATCTCTGATTAGCTAATAAAGTAAAAAGAAGTATGATATCGTATCTAGTTATGTACATTTGTAAGTTTCTTAATAAATAGTTTTAAGAGAAATGCCAACAGTTTGAAATTAAAAAGATGAAAATTGAGAAGGAATAGTTTTTTTATATAGGAACAAAATAACATTTTTATGTTGATGAAAAAATTAGATTTTAAGATTGAAATGAACAAGATGTAAGTACATAAATATTGTTATGTAATATTTTTAAGGAAATTTATGTTTTTTAACAAATAAAGAGGAATTTATTCACAGTTAATGATATTTTTGTTTTTTTTTTGGATTTAAAACTTTTATGGCTCCACTTTTAGACAGGAAAAACTTTTATATATTTATATATTTATATATTTTAAAATGAGTGTCCAAACCCCTTGAAAAAAATATTTATAATTAGAATCCAAACCAATCTCTACTTTCGTCTACATAATTTCCATTTCTATAGCAAAAATTACTTCATTAATTTCCCCATCAAAAGAACCATCATGAAAATTTGCAACAAAAAAATTACAAAAAGCTAGAATGAAAAAAACTTCTCTTTTAATCTAACTCAAAAAAAATCACCTCTACTACTTTGAATATAAAGGAACATAAGCGAGACGTTGTAGTTGAAGCAAGCAGAATGCGTGTAACAAATTTGTAAACATTTTCAAGCATATGTAAACTTTAACCCCTCATTTTTTTGCATAACTTGACTATACAACAAAAAAGAAAGTTTTTTTCTGTGCTGTAGACACAACTTCTATAAACAACGAAGAAGAATGAGTTTCATGAGGAACTTTCTCTTGTTTCTTATGGCGGTAAAAAAGGATGAAGAAAAATTATTCACGTTTTGATATAACTAAGAACTTTAAAAAATTCATTTTTTTACCATTTTGTACATAATAAGGATCTATTTCGTTTGAATGCAACAACAAAAGTGCCACTCACCCTACTTACCTCTCCTCTCGTACTTTTCGGCAAACAAAAGAATTACTCAAAGGAGGAGAACAGAAAAAAAAACTTTTTCCATTATTTTCACATGAATAAAATTTTATATTTGTTTTTATGAGTACCAGAACTAAGGTAATCGCGGGAATATCATTTATGAAATAAGTTTTTACTTTACACTAAAGGATGAGGTAAAGAGAATAAATTTAATATAATGAAAATTTGATGGAATTTCCTGTTAAATGAAATGAAATTTTTTCAAAGTAATGAGGAGCATTAAGGGCTTTAATTTGAGGATTTTGAATTTTATTATTAAGTACACCAAAGGATTAATCATAAAATAATAGACATTTATAACAATTTTTTTTCTACAGCAAATGTGACTCAATTTTAATGCCATAATTTTCCTTCGTCGTTTTTCTTTTTATGGTAAACTTTAAAATATGCTTATGTCTTCTTATTTCCCTCCCATGTCGACTGCACTGCATAAAAAAATTATGAAATTATAATTTTTTCCTTCTTTTCATCTCCTTCCGAGCCATTCTGAGATAATAAAAAAAAAATAGCAAGCAGAATGGAATGCAATAATATAATGAGAACGGCAGCAAGCAAGCACAAACCACGAATTGCATGGCGACCTCATGTTGGATGGGAGAGGAAAGAAATTTTTCTGTTGAGTAATTTTTCTTCATGGAAGGAAATTTAATAAATTGCGATACAACTTCCGGATGGAATTTATTAAATAAATGCACTAAAATTTCTTCAGTTGGATTTTTATGGATATACGGTGGCTTGATAAAAAAAATATTTAAGAAATTCTTTGGGACTCAATTATGAGAAATTTTCTTCATATTTTATGCTTCTGAGTGGGATGTGGAATCGAAATGAATAATTCTTATTTTAGTCCAGTAGATCAACATAAGTCAGATAATAAATAAAGCTTAATTTATAACAATTTTAACTAGACTTTGTGCTAGAAAAGTAAAGAAGCACTTTATTAAGGACCAATCTCATATCCCTAGTGCATATTGATAATGTGATTACAAGTGAGTCGCACAACAAACTCAAATCAGCATTGTTAAACTCTTTTGATACAATTATCCAGAAACTTCCTTCCTTCTCATTTTCTCCGACAAAACAAAGTGAAAACCAGCAAAGCAAAGCATCGAAAACTTTACAATTTAAATTTTTGAAGAGAACCTCTTTTGTTTAATCTCGGTGGTGCAAAAAGACTTTGTTTCATTGAAAAAACTTTTCTACTTCATGTTCTTCATCTTCACTCCCATTTTCAGCAGAAGAAGTGTACATAAAAATAAGTAAAAACAAATTCATAATCTGACGTGAAAGCAACAATGCGTAACAAAAATTTTTCATCACTTCCTGTTTCTTCCGCTTTTAAAGTTTTTCCTTTTTTACATAGAACCCCAAATTTGCAAGCCACAATCCGTCAGTCAGAATATCGATTTTCATGTCAACGCTTCTCATGCGTTTATAGCACAACACAAAAGATGATAAGAAAAATTGTTAATAAAATAATTTTTGTTGTTTGTTTTTTGAAATTAATTTTCTTGCATGCATGTGTGAGTTTGTATGCTGTGAATATGAATGGAACAAGAAGATTGTGATTCAGATTTTATAACTTTTATGTACGAAAGAGACCGAAAAAGATGGTCGGGGAGGATGTGATTATCGATATGTCCATAAACATTAAAGTAAATCATTTGGGTTGTTGTTGGGAAAGATTTTTATGGTATGAAGGGACTTTTGGATTAATTTTTATGAGATTTTTTTTGGTAGACAGCAGTAGATTGAGAAAATTAAAGACCAAAAAAACATCAAATAAATTTTTGTAAATTGCAGTTAAAATATTCAAAAGAGAAGAATGGGAAGCCTTAAAAATAAATCTTGCTGCTTCTTTGCGTTCCTCTTATGTCCATTCTCGAGAAAAATCTATTTTATGCTTTATGTAAACAAAAGAAAATTGTTTTCCGAAACTTGATGGCCCTTTTCTGATAAGCACATGCTATTGGACAGTATCAATTTCCTTTCGCTTTTCTTTTTTGCTAGTATAAATCCACTGTGTTCACAGGTTTTATAAATAAATAATAAAACAATAAAGTTGCTTGTCATGGAATGAACTTTTGAACTTCTGTGTGGATGAAGGTGGCGTTGATGTGTTGAAAGTAAAAAATACTAGATGAATCTCTACAGTTTTGCAATAACAAGGTCATGCGAAAAATATATCACCTCATAGCAATAAAATTAAAATCACTGTCAATCGTGGCTTGATAGAAAATTCCGAAACCCAAGATCAAAAATCTCAAAAATCCTAAGACCAACTTTATCTCTAAATAACTTTAAAATCTTCAATCTCACGAGATCCTTTAATATCATGAGAAATTCATAAGCATCACACAGCAAACATCATCAATAAATTCTAGCATGGAATTCTCGTAGCAAAGGAGATGGAGAGACAATAAAATTAACTTCATCGTTTACATAAAAAATCATTGGAGCAAATCGTCAAGATGCTTTACACAAGAATAGAGACTAAGTAAGTAAAGCGATGAGGAGATGGAATTATTTGTACAATTGAGAAAAGGCACAATGACAAATAGAAATTGAAAGCGATTGGGAGAAGAAAAAAAAACAATTGTATGATGCAAACAGCTATTATATTCTTATATCCCACATAAGAAGACATAAATCTTCAATCCATTTCCTGTTGCGCTTTCTATCGCTTTTATTTGCACAAGTCTTTTCGTCTCGAATGAAAATGGCAAAGAAGTGAGCTTAATAGAAAATCACAATGAGCAAATGTTTGGATTTCCCACTCCTTCATCTCACTCTTACCATGATTCTCATTTCCTTTTAGCATGCTCTTGCCGATTATCGACACAATAAAAAACAAATTCCTTCTTCTTATTATTTTCCTTTCATATTCAAAAGATTGAAAGAGGAAGTTTTTTCATTGAAGCTAATAATTGTATGTAATGGAGCAGAAAACGACATGAAGTGAGTCCATACGCACACATAAATATGCGATTACATAAAGATTTTCATATTTTGGCATTGGGACTGTTTTAAAAATTCGTAACTAGACAAAAGCAAAGTTTCTTAGTGTTCTAGGTTCTATTTGCATCTAGTTCATGCTCAGCTGCTAGCTGATTCCCACGGTGTTATCTTGAAAAAGTCTATTTGTGACTAAAACAGCATTTAATCGACTTCAATCTTTATTCGTCACAAAGCTTCACTATAAATCCTTTTAGACATTGATGTCATTTATGAACGACCCCGTAATTTGGCAGCGAAATTCTTTTTCATGACTCAACAAAACTGTTTCAATTCATTTCGAAAATTTTCTTTCAATTTCAAAACCAAAAGGATGAAAAGGGGAAGAAAGTTAATTGAAAGTATAGAATTGAAAAGGTTCTTTTTTTTCGCATACTTGGAAATATCCTTCAGACAAAGCGAGTGATTCTTTATTCAAGTCATGAAAATTAATGTAGATATTAAGTGTCTTGTTTTCTGTCTTGAGTTTGTTAAGATTTTAATTTGTTTTGACGTGGAAAATTAGTCATATGCCTTTCAATTTGTTTTAATGGGTTGTATGTACGGAAGTACTTAAACATTAATTAGCTGGATTTGTTCTTTCATCGAAATGGGTTTTTGTGTTTAAATATAAAGATGCTTGACGGGATCTCAATGCTGTAGTATTATTAGTTGTTTTGAATAATCAATTTAAGCTGCTTTTTCTTTCAAAATCTTAAATATAATTCTAAAATACAGCGCATCCAAAAATGCAGTGACAAAAATCACATCCACCAAAAAAGTATGCAAAAAATATTAAATTCAGCTTATTCATGTGAAAAAGCATATTTACACAAAAAAAAAAGTTTGTTTAAAAATGCATTTTTTCTTTTTTATTCTTCGCAGCATAAAAACGAATTTTGATTCCATGCAAATATTTAATGCACAATCACAAAAAAAAACTGAATGAATGAAAAAGTTTTTTAATAATCCTATGATCTACTTTTCATTAAATGTTTCTTCTCGTGAATCAGACAGAAGAGGAGAGAAAAAAACTTTTCGTTTATGCTTGGCTGAAGCTTTTCTACTTAAAATATTTCATGTTTTTTATGCTTGTTCGCTGTTGTTGCATGTTGCAGATTTTTAGGAACAATGAATTTTTCTCGTGTTTTTTTTGGGGCTTTTGCTTCCTCTCCGATAATTTTTTTCCTACTTCTCAAACCTACTATTTTGAATAAATGAAATTTTAAATATGCACCTGCAATTTTACTGTGGCTTTAAGCAT